ACCCGCACTGAAAGGCAGCACATTCTAGGAGCTCCAAGAGACGGTATGTGGTTATTGCCACGTTTAGAGGTAGGCGTCTATCCTGCCCAAACAGAAGTCAAAATGATTTCATAATTTGCCAAGGCTGTCTAAAACTACTTGAAAAACACTAGGTAATACCTCAGTTCCTCAGTTTTCTTCACTGCTGCTGCCACATGCAGTTTTATTAGTAGTAAAAGCAGGCACATTCAACAGTATTTCATGCACAAGAGATGGACTTTGGCTCCATGAAGAGCGTAATCAAATTCTTGGAAAGAGAATGCAGATTTAGAGAGATGCTCCTTTATATGTCTTTTACTTAAGACCTAGCTGACACAAGCAACTGGAATTTGTTGCTAAATGAGTCAAGACAGTACAGTGCATTTCAAAGCAGCATTAAAATCAGTGCTTGCCTCAGCAGGATTTGGTGCTCCTGATTCATGCCCATAGCACATTAAAGCTGAGTTAGAATACTGCCGCTCTTTATTTGTAATCCTCCTCGATTGTTTGCTTTCACTAATGTGTTATTCAGCTTAAAGACTATTTACCAAAACTGAACTGTATCGGCACGCAGAGCACTATGTCACACGAACTTCCATCATTTGTAAATTAATTGATACAAGCCAAGTTTTAAGCCATATACAGTTTAGGTACATTTAAACTATGGATCCAAACCTTGAATCCGTATTCTCCTAACTCCTTTTATACATATTGTGTGCAGAAATTAACGCACAGAAGCAAAATTAATCTGGGTATTTTCATTGCTACTGGTGGTGAGATATGGAAGCCTTACTCATTCTGGAACAGATGGTACAAACACAAATTTCTCCCAAATTGCAAAACTAAACTTGATCTAGAGGAATTCTCTCTAGATGATGTCTCTCTGAGGTTTGGTCTTGATCGCTGTACGATCTCTGTGTCACCCCTGCTGTCCCACCCCAAAAATAAATTAAAAAAAAAAGGATTAGAACTGAGAAGCACCATTGGCAAAGCTGCTGGTTGTGATGACAGCTCAGGAATTCTCAGACATGGACCCCTAATGCTGCTACTCGGTTAAACACTTTTTCCTGCACAAAAGGGATTTGTAAGATGTTGCCACTGATGGTATGTAATGGCATAAATATGCCTGGGAAATGCTGATCTGTTTAGTGACAAGTACCTCTCCTTACCAAGAACTCCTGATTCCACTCACTCAGTTTTAAACAAGGAAATGATTAGCAGTGGCTACAATCGCTTAGGTGAAAACATCTGAGGAGTGACTAGAAACGTGGAAGGGCATAGTAGGGAAGAAAGGCTCCCCCTCCTGGTAATTCTGAGGAAATGATGATGTCAGTCATCACTAAAAAATATCCCTGCTTTCCACTTCTTACAGGACTAATGACAGGATTTTTCAGATTAAGCTGCGGTATAGATCAAGAACATTTACTATTAATGCTTCTATCCTTAGATATAAGAAATCTTCAGCACCTCTAAGCTGCAGAAAAACAATTCCAGAGATGAAGATTTATATTCTTGATAATGGGGCAGGCTCACATATATAATTGAGCTGAATTTAAATTTCATTCCAGTTGTAGAGTGTCTGCCTCTTATTGAGCTGCATTGCATTAGAGGTTTGACTATATCAGTCCTTCATAGCCGTTGTCAGAAATAAATCGCTAAATTAACTTGTGACTACGGCAAGCACAGGAAATGTGTGCTCTTTGGGAAAATAATGTTCCTGAACTTCTGCACTTGATGGAATAATCAAAATCTTCCCAAGGGATTCAGACAGATATTGGCATGGTAACATGAAAGGGGCTGGACTCTCCTATCCATTTTGTTTTCAGTTTGCGTTTCCAGGTCCATGCAGCGTATGGATTAAACAAACAAACAAGAACACCACAATTAGCATCTATTTTGCATGTAATGAAACAGAAGATGAGCTGCTTTGTCCGTAGTTATTTCAAGCCTTATGTTTTCATCTAGGGCTTCATCCAAACTCTAATGAAATAAATTCTTGTATCAGAACCATAGATTTGTTGCCAGCACTGGGTTTTGAAACTTTCTACACTTCTCAGTACCCATTAACAATTATTGAGCAAGACTTACTGGCTATCTCAGTTACTTCTCATCCATATGTTAAACAGGGCAGGTCATCTTTAATTTGAAAATGTCAAGTGTATAACCTCAAGCTGACTGCCACAGACCAAAGTCATTACTTAATTGAACCTGGTACCCAGTTTCTAAAGACACTGAATTATTTCCAGTAGACTGTTTACCTTGATGAGCATAGAATTAGCCTTGCATCCTGAGCCTTTATGTGACATTTTATTTTCTAAAGCAAACATGACCCGTTAAGATTTACAGACTTTATTAGCAGCAATAACAATTTTACTATCAACATCAGTAAATCAGGGTTTATTGAGAACTCTACAATTTTTATCTGTAGAAAGCAATGAAAATGTCAGGTTTTCACTGGATATAATTCCTAACTTTTATGACAGACAGATATCCTGTTTAATTGTTGAGTGCAAAGCAATGTAGTTCAATTAATTCTAAAATTCTCAGTAGAATTCAGAGAGTGTTGACTGAGAATCACCATTTTTTCCCAAATGGCTGAACTCCAACAAAGATAGCATTTTTGGCTATTTAACTATACAGAAATTGGAACACAGTCAAACGTATGCAATCAGTTCAGCAAACCATACTGGTTGGGTGGAAGTGTACGTAATTTGTTTCTTTTGGTCTCAAAGAAAACATAGATTTTATATAGTTTTTCGCTTGAAAACTTTTTGCTCACCTTTAAATGCTGCACTTTTAGAATCAGTAACAAAACCAAGCTGACAGATATGGTAGCGTATTCTTCAGACTATCTCAATAGCCAACGTAGAAAAGTGCACGATAACCTCCTAAGGAAGGTACTAGGATCCTTGTCACATAAAAGGCCATACAGTGCGTACACAAGGCGTATCTGAAGGCTACAAAGTTTTGAGAAACTGTATTAGGCAACTGAACAGAAAAAATAAATGGTGGTGGGTGAAAGAGGGCGGAACCCAAGAAACACCTTTGACTAGAACTGGGAAGCCTTTGACGGTGCCTACCTGTTGGACAGAGAGACCTGGAGCAGCACATCCAGAAGGGAGAACAGGGGAAGGAAGAGGAAGATGACCAAAATTTGAAGGCACTGGCCAAGGCAGAGTTCCTCCATGAAAACTCAGCTGCTGGCTCCCAAGGCTGGCCCAGGACTGCAGGTCAGCTACGTTTCCACAGCTAACAAAGACATTTTGCAGCCAAGCAGTGGCCACATCAGACTCCATTTCACTTTGTAACAGCTTGTTTCCAGCCTTTCTCCTATAACTCTGCACTTGATTTGGGGTGTTTTATTAACAAACATTCACTTATTTTACTATAAAATCTGTCTAGCTTTGTGGAACGAGGGGAACCAGGGTGAAAGGAATAAGCAAAGCGGAAATTTTTACCACAGAGATAGCAAATTTATCTGAGACAGGATACAGTGGCAATCTGGAGGGGTATGCAGTCAGAAAACCTGGTTTAGCAGTGACATTCTGTCTGAGAGAAAAAGGTCACTGAGGTTGCCAGCTGGTGGCTTCGGGGAATCTCTGCAGGCAGCGATCACCATCCCTTCTGCAGAGAGCATGGGCAACGAATCCCTCACACACCAAGGATGTTCAGGCCACTACACCTTTGGAAGTTTGGTTTGTCTACAAAATAGATACATTTACCAGAATACACATTTCAATATTTTGGCAATTCTCTGTAATGCAGTATCCATTTCTCTAGTAACACTAAACATGAGTAAAAATAACACACGGCCAAGGGGAATGTAGTAGCAGAAATCTGAATGACAGAGTAATGCACATTAGATGCCTAGATACAAATTCATCTACCCACCATTCTTATTTCTAACTCATTTGCCTTTTGGTCTTTTAACACTTGGAATCATAGAATGGTTTGGGTTGGAAGGGACCTCAACGATCACCTAGTTCTAACCCCCCTGCCATGGAGCGTTTTTCTACCTGATTTCCAGCGTCTTTTGCATCCCAGTTTGCTGCAATTCTCCTCTATTTTCAATTGCATCTGCTCAACATGCTTCTCCTTAACTAAAAGGACACGTGTTTCTTTGGAGTTTATGTTTCCTTGCTTCTTTTGTTCCTTCAGTTAGAACTCACCGCAGCAACAGTGGAGATAAGGGGCAAAAATAAACTTCTGAGTGATACTCTTTGTCTTACTCATCAAAAGATGCTCGGACCACGCTGCAGAGTGGGCAATTAGAAATACAGAACAGTATTACCGGGGCCGCTCCGCAGCTCTTGCCCTGTGGCTGAGCCTACACTACAGCCTGACCATGGTAACTGCAGCTCGTCCCAGTGCACAGGAGTCGGATTGAAACTACCGAGCTCCGTCCTGGCGTGGCAGCACTGGCTGAAGACTGCTTTGTGACAGGTAAGAGCAGTGTGATGCCATACTAGCTTCCACCATTGTGTTTTCTTTTCTTTTTTTTTTTTTTAAACGTCTCTCTAGCAGGTTTTTATACACAACCCACTTAGAACATCCTCCTCCAAGAACAGTCTGGCTATTATAATTTTAAGGCATCCCCATGAGGTTCCTGTTAAGATTCAACTCTCTTGACAAAAAACATGTTTAAAGCTAAGAAAAAAACCTCCCCAAATTATTATTTGCAGCAGATTTTCTCTCTCCAGTGACAATTTATCATAATATTTTTTAGTTTTGTTTTTTTCTCTTTATTTTTCAATGAGAAAAGTCATTTATGGGAAAATAAGTAACAATCTGTTTTCAGTTTGTAAGCATACAAGTGGAAAATTGTATCAAAACTAGGATTTTTTTTCAGCAAGCATTCTGGAATTCTGACAAAAAGCCATACTTTTTTAAAAAGCCACATACTGAAAAAAAAATTACATATTTAAAGCAGTCTGTGAGAGAAGAACACTGTAGCCAACACTGGACCTCGCAAAAAGCCTCACCTCAGCCGCAGGGACTCCCTCAGGTGGCCGACAGTGGAGAACGATCATCCCTTCGATAGGAACCTCCTTCCCTTGGGGGTCTTGCTCAAAGTTTTTCCGTAAATCTGCAGAGTTTAATGCAATAATTCATTATATCTCCACAAGCCATCCCTCCCCACACAGTACTACACGGGCTGCAGAAGTGAGCACCAATACCGCTCCGCTGCTTCTCTCAAGTGTGCGTATAAAGCAACAGACGACTGAGAGCTACTAATTCTTCCCCAGAGGAGAGGCAGAGAAATCCTGTCATCTTTAGTTGCGTTTCCATTTCTCCACCTTTAAGACACGATCTGCGTGTGACTACAGAGACGATCAATATTAGAACCCACAAACTCCGTGGTTCCAGTTGTGCATTCAATCTCTCGAGCCATTGCCTTTCCAAAATGGGGGAATTAAACGCAAGAACACCACCGTGGTATTGTTAGGGTGCTGTCAGAACCAACCCAATGAATCCAGGACTGGGTGAATAATTTTCCTTGTACACGCTACTTCAGATGACTGCCAGGGTATTTGATAAAATGTTCTAAGCTAGATGTTTTGTTTAGATCGCCTACATACTGCAAGCTGTAAGGAAAGGAAGGAAAGGACTGAGAGCAATTCCACACATTCCAACCTGGCTGATTACAAGATTGCTTCATGCCAGATACCACGGCCCAGCTAATAATTCAGGATAAGAAACAGGGCATATTGTCTCAGAGTCACACCGATGTGGCCGCAGCACTTCTAGGTCCAAGTGTTTGGGGAAACCAGAACAGACACAAGGGAAATCTGCATCCAGTGCCACTGACCCAGCCCCGATGGGCCAGTGAATACCTAAAGTTGTTCTTGCTGTGAAAGGAAAATGGACCAGGAGGAATGTTACTTCCGACACGTGCTTTGAGAGTTTGGATGTTTCCATCACACGTACTCATTTTCTTCAAACAGTGTCTCAGATTCCACAGTGTGGATTTACTGATTTAATTTTCTCCATTGCTTACACTTCATGAAATACACCCCCTTAAAGAGCAGAGGCTCTGAATCAGTTATGCTTTAATATATTTCATAAAATACATTAAGACTTATTTTAGCAAGCCGGTCACTAGAGAGAGATGCATGCAGTGCATGTGTTCTTCTTTTTATGATTCTTTGTTAATGTTGATTCTTTTTCCCCACAGATAACCAATACCTTTTCCAGTACTCTATTTAAAAAGTCATTCATTAACAGTTAGGCTGCAGCTGTGCCTACAAATGCCTTTATTAGGATGAAAAATGGAGTAAGATCCATCTCATTTTCTCTGCGTTCCACACTATCATAAAGAAATACTTACCTGCTTTTTCAGAGAAATATAAAGTGCTGTAATGCTTTGGACTTGACTCACAATTCAGAATCTCTAGGCTTTAAGTGCAAAAAAAAAAAAAAAAAGAAAAATAGGAAAGAGAGAAAGAAGTCGACACTGCCACACTATGCATCACAATGACAGATGCTGTGAAAAAGTGATGGGTTCTGTGTGCCGTCACAAATTGGACCTATACGTTCTCATCTCTAGCCCTCTAAAGGTACTCCCCGAGTCAGGAATTCGTGCCCCAAGTTAAGTAGCGAGGATGCTCACCACAGACAGGATGAGGCAGGTCCAGGAAAGGGTGAGCCTGGGACGCTCGTGGGGGTGGTTTATGGACATCTGTTGGCAGCTATTCATTTTATCTGTCTGGAGTACTAACGAGTCCCATCATCTCTGCATTCAAGAATTGCTGTTCTTTTCATAAAAAAACACAGCTTCAAGTAAAAGTAGCACAGCAAACGCCCAGTACAGGAACACAGTTCTCAGGTGAAACATTCAGCCCCAGTCGGTACATTACCAACGGCAGAAACGAAGAGCGCTCTGGAGCGCCTGCGAGGTTAATACGATATCTGCAGTTATGGATGGCAGCCGGGGATGTGGTTTGCAGAAGAACTGGTACCACAGCGGTGGGTTTAAAAGTCCCAATACACAGCTCCACCTGCTTCTGCTCATTCTGATTTTTACTCATATTGCCATATTATGGGGTTGGGAAATCACAGTGCGGAGAAAAGTCAATAAAAATTCAATTCAGAATAATAGTCCTTTGCAGCTTAGCAGTACAGGGGAATTATTAGCTCATTCAATGTTATGACAGTTAATGCAGTAAAATAAAAAATTGAATTTACACATATTTACAGATTCAAACTAAATCAGGCAACAAAAAAATCTGTCATTTATAAAATCAAGGAGTTGTTACATTGTCCTATTACTTACCTCAAATGTTTATTCTAAGTTATCCTGTTAAAAGATTTATGAAGAATCCTAGAACACTACCTAATAAAGTTACCATTCAGAGTTTCTTGCTTGAGACTCCCCAACCCGTTCCTCCTGCCCCTCATCTCCTTCCACAAAGCATTTCCTCTCAGCTCTTTGCAGCTTGTTGCCATCCATTCCTGGGACTAGGTCTTTAAAGACCTGAACTGGTGATTTAGAGGAAAAGAGTTCACAACAGATTGCGGGGAAAATCATTTCCCGAGTTCTCTGCTAGCAGCACTTCTGCAAAAGGATGGTTTCAGGCTCTCGTTCTGTTAGAACAACGTAGTAGATCTAATTGCAAGGTAAAAACTGGATGAGGCTTTGAGTATCTGCTTATAGTGACAATTGTATTTGGGTTCTGTCTTTTTTATGTCCCTCTTGCTATGATGGCATTTATTCCATTTTCCGTTTTTTGCTTATTTCAAATAATGATCTGTTGATTGTGAGTTGTAACACTACAGCAAACTATTTCAGGTATGAAGAACAGAGATAAATGGAGCACTTCCCATCTGGGGACAATGGTTGTCCTCTGCTCCCCACCGTATTAAAAATTCTGGAATGAGATTTCTATGCTAAAAGAGATTAAACCAAATAACCTCCCTTCCCCCGTAACTCTTAATTAATTTACAGTGGTGGTGTTTAAAGCTTAACATTTGTCAGCCTACAAGACCAGAGTTATTCCCTTTGTTTCAAGTAGGAAGTAATGATGCCCCGTAAGCAAACAGGGACAGCAGCTACCATAACCACATGGCCTTCACCACTACCACCAGTAATGACTCTGGCCTGTTTCGTATGGTTTTAACTGCATAACTCACAGCTCTGCACAGTGGAATTCCTTTCTAATCCCATTATGGACAAGCAGCAGGCATACAGAATCATTTCTAGGTAGCTGAACAGCACAGTGTAACTAGGTAGGGTCCGGTTTCTCAATACTGGATGTCACACCACGTGACTCTATAGGTCATGCAACTGGCTCCACAGTCAAGGCCTTGCACAAGGCACACGGGAAAGCAGATGTTAGCAGCTGGGAACACACCAGCCTCAAATCCGTTCCCATCTTCCTCTAGTAACCTTCGGTCACAATGGGGATGGCAGTGACACGGAGTAACCTCACCGGTCAGAAGCTGATGAAGAGGACTGTTGTTAGCCGTCTTTCCGCACAAGAAGGGCTGATCCTGTGTGTGATGTCCTTCGACACGGGAAGCAGATGCTGAGCTTGTCACTTCTTCATTACATCCATGCGATATATGGGCTGCCTCTGAGAAGCTGTTGTCTGATTTTCCAGTCCAAGGATGAAGTGCAAGAATAATACTTTCACCTTGTTACAAGAAGGAACTTTTTCCTAAGCCACTTTAACTTCTCTGAATGACAGATTCAACCATGTGATCTAGATTTCACATCAACTACATAGTTAAAAAAGTGGAAGAAATGGAAGCCTACCTACCTTGCTTATGAATGATTTTATTATCTTCAGTAGTGGCTCTTACAAATGTCTATATGAACAGCATTTAATTTTTCTTTTTCTAAACAATGGGTGCTTAGTCCCATAGAGAAATGACAGAATTTCTGTAGCAGTTTTAGTTCTGTTTAGGATGTTTGTATCTCATTTCCTCCGAGAAAGGAGGGAAGATATTTTTTCCTCTACTGATTGGAATTATTCAATTTTTCCTACTTTTATCTCATTCTCCCCACAGCTTATCATACCTGATGACGAATGATATGCTTCAATATTGAAAACCAGATTTAAAATACCATGCTACAAAAGCTTCTAATATATTCTTGCTTTTTTTATTTTTAGACCAAGTGTAGAAGACAGATATTGTTAAATGTTTTTTTATATTTTTTTGACCCCTGCAATCAACATGGAGCAAAAGGGTGATTTTCAGGGTATTTTCAATTTGCATTAACCCTTTTTATTACATTGCATCGTTGTGACACTGTGCATGCGCAATCCAGAAACTCTGAAACAGACTTGCTGAGTGTAAATGCAAATCAATCAATCCATATTAAAATAAAAGAGCGCTCTGAAAAAAAAACACCATGACATGCTGTCTGTGATATTCCTACAGTATCACATAGGGAGGGCTTGCAAAGACAGCAGTACCTTACCAGCATCCATTTATATTGAACCCTAAAAGAAAGTATGTTTCCATACCTTACAAAACCTAGAGTAACAGAATTTTACTCACAAGCTATGCGGACAGATGCCTTCCTACTCTTCGAGGTCCCTAGATGGCTCCATGCAACACACTGGCACCAGTAGTCTTCCGGCCCGTGAAAATCTTCTACCTGCTGTCTCGTCACGTTGATGAACACCTCTCGAACTTTCAGTCCTGAAGGGGAAAGATAGAGAAAATTAGCTGATACAGGCTATCTTACTTGGGCATAAAGCTAAGGTTAGCCAAACCTTTTCTTTTAATTAAACAATTCCATTTTTAATCAAGGCAAAGCTTTAATTACTTTGACAATAATATATTGCCACTAATTAAATTCTAAAATCTGAGTAGGTCATAATGCATTGAGTTACAAGAATTACCGGCCCACTGTGGTCTTTGCAAGAGTATAACACCTCCCTCAGAACCCTGTCTCTTGTGTCTTTTGCACCCAGAATGTTTATCTGGAATTTTATATTATACAATAAAATTGTCTTCCCATCTAACACCTCAGTGCCCTTGAAAAAACTTTCTGAAGTACCCTGGTAGGCCCCCAGTCACATCAAACAGGCAGAACTATGCACATATGACGGGAACTAATCAAACGCCCCACTGAATTCCAGCCTGTTCCAGCCACCACTGCCGCCGCTCCATCCAGCAGCCCGTTCCTCATACGCGAGGTGTCTTACACCGCGGCAGAGAAAGCTAAGCTTAAGCCATTACAGCCTGGAAGGAGGAGGAAAGAAAGAGAGGGGAATAAATTGCACAGCTCACAAATGGAGATGGTCCTCTTCGCCACCGTGTCTTCTGGGAAGCCAGTGAACCAGCTACAAAACTGAAGCCTTGCCTTTCTTAACTTTCACAAACAGCAGTGTTTATAACATCAGACAGAGACCTTGCTTATTTTACACCGTTTCCCAACGTATAACCTTGCTAAGTTCATCTGCAGGGCAATGTTGTCGTCTACTGCACATTTGGCTGTTGTTTATCACAACGAATGCGTCTCTCTCTCCTAAGGTAGGAATTAGTTTCACCTAAAGGGCTGAGAAAAGGATCTAAGGGAACAATCAAGGCTAGGCAGGAAGAAAGATGGGGAAAGCCCTGTGCTTTTTCTTAGCCTGCCACCATTTTCATAACCTCCTGGGCATAGGTGAAATTCAGCAGTATTGCCCATCAGACCAGAGGCATTTGCTTCAGACAAAGCTTGATGGTAAATATGAGACATCAAGAAGCCTTGTATACCTGACACCTTGGTGTTCACACACTTGGGAAGTTTTCCATATCTGCAACTACCTTTGGAAACATAATCCAAATCTGGGTTAAAAGGCATTAGGAATCATTTGAAAGAGCTAGTCAGAAAAACATTAATTTGAAAATAGAAAACATTCATGCCTACTACTTTCTTCTCTCTCCTCCTGTGCAGTCCCAAGATACTTATTTCCCCTTCACTGGAAATGAATGAAAACTCAATCTGAAAATATTTCATGCCTGTGAAGTTTATAAAGCAGCAAGAAATTTCTAAACCTGAAGTCCATAAAAATTGGCTTCCACTTAATCTCAGGCATCATTAACAGCTGGGTATTTCACTTCGGAAAGGCACTAGGAAGTCAACGGGTTCCTTCAGTAAACAGGAGAGATGGGGCTCACTGGGGATGCTCAGTGAAGAGTGGCAGGGAAGGGCAGACAACCTTTAAATACCATAAAGCAATACAAAATTTGTGCTATTTTTCCAGCAACAGGCAAAGGGGATTTTTACTACTTTTCCTTTAGGCTGTTCGGCTTGCCGTATTTCACAATGATACCTAAAGTCATGGACAAACCTGCAATAGTCAGGTCAATCATCATTTTAGTCACCTCAATCATCATTTTAGTCACTCAAATATTTATTCATTCTGTAATAAACAAATAGAGGTTTCCTCGTTGGTTTTATTTGCATTTTGTTTTTATAACTATGTTGATGCGGTTTTCAACAAAACTGTTTACAAAAACATCCCTTTATTTTTTGCCCTGGTGAAAAAAAAGCCGTTATGAAATAAACCCAGTGCATGGAGCTCAGCAGTTCTGTCGGAAACTCCTCTCCTTGCTGACATGCTGGCCATAGAACGCACAATGAAAACGCACCATCTCAATTTAAACATCTGAGCTGCTCTCACTGCGATGAATCCTTGGATTCCCAGTCATACAACCATTTTGTAGAGTGACCTTTATAGGTTAAGAGCAGCCCCAGTTAAGTTCCATTAGAGAGCGTCTGGGTCCTGAAGACCTGACACAGCAGGTACTGACTGGCTGAGGACCTGGTGTCCCACCATGCTGTGTGACACCGACAGCCGTACACTTTCTTGTTACTTACCTACGGCAAATCAAGTTGCGTGCAGTCCCTGAATGATCTCAATCAAAGCTACAAAGCATCAAAGCCCCAGAGACTCCAAATCCGAGCTGCTTTGCAGCCATGTCCAACAAGGTTGCAACCCATCTACTTCAAGCCTTCTTCGCCAAGGCTGTAGAATGATGAAGTCCTTGACCAACACTGACCTAAGCCGGCTGTGAAGGCACAGCCTCCTGCTGTACCTGGCTGTCCTCCCCTCCCACGATCAGCTTATTCCCACCATGACCTCTAAAGCAGCATCTTCCTGGGGAAGAAAATACTCCCTGTCACCAGCCATTAACCACGACCTTGCTGACAGCGCTTCCGCTCACCCACCCGGTTCTGCTACACCGTCTCCTGCACTCTCCATTTCTGAGCTAGTCTAGGAATTTCTGGAAGCAGAAAATAGAAACAAGGGTATGAGAACTGCATATTATATAGCTTACTGATGCATCCATGCTAACGACGACAGAACCTTTACTGATATCGAACAAAAATCACATGATGACGATTTTTTTTGAGAAACAGAAGCCATTTCTAGGCTCATTGGTACTGTAAAATTCTGAGCAGTTGTCAGTGAACACAGGCTTTTACAGCTTCAGATTTTTTTAAGGCAGAATATTCTCCAGCCCAGCTCTTCCTTTCATTGACGCATTATTTAATCTATATATCAGCCTGTATTTTATGAAGCAATGTTTAATGTGGTTTGAATCAGGCAAACAAACGGCACATGATTTTGAGAAGCTGGTGGTTCAGCATTTTGAGAATGGGACAGGTAGGAATTCAGGTCCTTTTCAAGGTCTCCCAATCTGCCAATAGACAAAATAAATGCCTCCAGAATAGCAGAATCACAGAATTGTTGAGGTTGGAAGGGATCTCTGGAGAACATCTAGTCTTTGGGGAAAGTTATGGGGTTTTTAATAGGGAAAGTACACCTATTTTCATTTGTTTTAGAAACAACAACAGAAAGCAAACCAATTGGGAACAGAGGCAGATAGTCTTCATTTATCATCACTATATTTCACCAACAAATATACTCACCTACCCTCTGCATCTCAAGAAATCCAGAAAAATTGTTCATAGGAAATGACACAGAACGAAAAATCCATGCAAATAAAACCAGGCACATAATAAACAAGAGCAAGATTTCACCTGTGACTTGTATAACTCTAATAAGCACTGCAAGTCCAACCCTTTAAATTATTGTGCAAATTATAACCATCATCTTTTGTCGTACAGCACAGCCTTACAGAATATAAAATTATGACTATGGTACTGATATGCTAATAAGCTTTCTGCACTGTTGGATGGTTTAGCTGCAGATAGACTAATGCTGGCAGCAGATGAATAATTGCTCTCCATGTACTAAACATAACAGAGCTGCACAGAACTTCAGCATTTGTCAGCTTTATTTGTTTAAATGAGAAAAACACTGACAGCGGTTATTGCTGTAATCCTTTTATTTATCAGACAAGAAAACTCTAGTTACTCCTAGCAGGTCTGATCCTCTGGTGAAACCAAAAGTTGAAATATTTGTAAACTAATGCTGTGGTGCATGCAGCAACGTTCAGGCAAGAAAAATAAAGCAGAAGGAAATTAATCAAGCCTTAATTATTATATTTTTATCACAGTAGCATCTACTAGCTCATGCTCTCACTTTATGAGGCAGAGTACACAGACAGACATTTATGGAATGCCATGGGAAAGGCAGACTATGGATTACTGTCTTTTCTGTGAGTCAGGAAACGAGGCAGGAGAGGATGAAATACCCTGGTCTCTAACCGGCCAACTGACTGTGCAGTGCAGAGATGGGAACCCGTACCCATCGTAGTTGCAGCACATCTCAGGTTCCCTGCCCTGATTTTCTGCACAAACAGCAGCAAACCCACAAAGGAGACTTCAGCGCAAACTCTTCAAGCCCACCAGGACCCCTTACATTCTCAGGCAGCCAGCTCGTGTTGCAGCCCGTAACTACAAAGCTCACAAAGCTACAAAAATCCTTACTCCCCTGCTGCTCCTCCTCTTCAAATTAACAGTGACTCCTGTGTTACTCTAAGATTTCTATTTCTGTCCTATAAAAACAAAATCGTGTGAAATTGGATCCCATGTTCATCACAATGACAAAACACACCCATTGCCTACCACAGCTTTCCTGCCTGTCCTTTTCCTGCAGCGTTGCAGGAAAACCCCAGCAGCAGCAGCGCCTTCAAGTGCCACCGCCAAGTACTTCTTGCGTACGCCTGGCTGAGAGCTTGCTGGCAGGAATTTATAGAGATGCTAAGGTACATTTCTTGTATGCAGCGTTAAATTTCCTCTTGTTTCTTGTTGCTATTTTTCATCGCTTTCCTATACATCTTCTCAGGATTTTAATCACATAACAAATAGTGGAAGGATGGCAAAGGACAGACCCGTTTTAATGTAGTGCTCACTGAAGGGAGGTTACACACCAGAATCACACCCTTTAACCAGAGGCACCATTCTTGGCACAAATTCTAGTGCAGTTTTTCACAGATGGAGCCCACGCAGAATGCTGTGCCTGCTTGGTAAAAGCCATGTTTATGCCCCAGATTTGACTCCAGAAATGAGAGCACTGGCAGTATGCACATTAATTCTCAAAAAACCCAATAGTCAGTTGTTTACTGCAGGCTAAGGAAGAGTTCCAAAATAATTTATGGATATGGATACATCCTGGTGAGAGAATACCCATGCCTGTCCTTCGACTTCACAGTGTATATAGCCTTTACTTACATTTTTGTGTCCCAAGGACCATTACAGTAGTTTTTGGAACGCACAGGTGCGCCACTCAAAAAGTGTAGGGAGCAAGACTTTTAGGGTTAGCTCTGTCCCTGGGCTAAATTCAAACCTGCAACATTTATATTCCAGAGCCTGTTTGCTAAGCCTATGCCTCCATGTCTCACACCTCAGTGTTACTGGTGTTATTTTAAAAAAAAAAAAAAAAAATTTTAAAAAAATCTAATGTTACTTTATCTTTTTTGATTCTGTTATTAATCCAAGGCTTACAAAACATAATTGCCGTATTCACAAGATAGATTTTCATTAACCATATGGAAGAAAAACATTTAGGGACGACATTTCTTCTATATTTATTCAGCAATGCCTTCAGAAGTAAAGGTTATGCCTATTAAATTATTTTTGAAAAGGTAACTGTAAAAATTAAAATTCATCCAGATTAGCATTTACAAAAAGCCTTTAGTATGAAATTTCTTCAGAATGTATCGCTTAAAAAGAATGCCGAACACCACTTCAGGAGATGTAACTTTTTAAATAGCATTTTTTCCTGTAAAAAGGAATTTCTTGTATTGATAGAGAGGATGCTATGCATACACTGCTATTTCCAAGACATGGAGTTGCCTAGCAATCTTGGAATTTAAAAAGAGGAGAAAAGCAATAACAAAACAGAATTGTGAAATTACAAGACGGTGCAGCATTAAATTGGTTTGCAATACTTATCAAGATGCTTCTAAATGAGAAAAGATACAAGGTGTGCTGGGAGCATGATAAAATCTGTTGATCATTTTCAACTTTCTCCCTTCTCATTCTCTTCTTTTAGATACACACTCCTGCACAATGGATTTCTCCTACTCAGCTTTAGTACCTACCAAATACCTGTCACTGCTTGGGGTGAAGGCAAATTTCAACCACCCCACTGGTGCTTTTTCAGGGTTCATCCTGACAGGAATTTCATAAAAGCATGTGTTTCCCTGTTTCTAGTTCCCACTACAAATTACGCCACTGAAATACAGGGAACTACTGTTCCCTCCAGAACTCTTTATTTTCTTTCAGGAAGCTCACTGTCTATGCTTAGTGTTTGATCAGGTCCTATGTCTCCACTCGGAAACGTTGGTGCTGCGTATCCAGTTTGTTACCGTCTCTGTGTAACGCCTCCTACATCTACAGTCGGTTTAATTCCCTTTGTTTTCCCCATTCATCCTACCAGGATCCATACTCCCCTCCCTTTGCCTGCCAGCTCTGTCTTTCTCTCACCCTCTCCCACCCACTGCTTTCCCTTTTGCATTTCGGGAAACGGCATCTCCCAACTCCGCAAATCTGTACCTACATGGCGCATCACATGCAGACGTGAGGGGGCTTCACCGACACGCCAAGCCGACCAAAACACGTTGTTGCGGTAGCCCAGCAATAAGCTGAGGCCGATGTGCTGTGCCCATGGCTGATGGGCTGTGCTCGGGGCAGCGCTGCGAGGCTTGGGAATCGGCGCCGGGTCCCACTCCTTCAGCTCAGCGCAAGCCTGCAACTACCTGCGACGTCAGGCGACTCTCCTGTTTGAGTATCTCTGAACACCATCGCCTGTTCTTTGCTCCGGTGTGCATCCCGTTGCCAGACGCCGCGTTCGGATACACCTCCCGAAGGACGCGTCAGCCCTTACCTGTAGTCTCGTCCATGCTTTCCTCAGACACGTGCTCGTTTTGATGGACCCATTCACCATTGCACTTGAAGAAAATCTGCATTGCTGGCATAGCTTTACAGCGTAAGACAATGGGGTTGCTTTTTATAATGTAGGCATCATCTGGTTCCTCCATGAAATGAGGCAGTGTTCCAGGAGCAGATGGGATAGACTCTGGAAGGGATTCACTGTTATCATTTCCTGAAAGGGAAGGAAAGGAAAATACACATTTTTCGTGTTGTTGCATCCTTTGAGTCATCTCATTTAATTGATTAAATACCATTTTGGATTTTATTAAAAACTAATTTTATTAGAGAAACACTCGTAGAACTCAATAGCTGTCAGGATTTGCTTTGCAAGGAATTTGACGCACATACACAACACACACAAAGTCAAATAATTTAAATGTAAGAACTGCCATGTGAATTGACAGAAAAGAAGCATCAGACTCAGCAGAAAACCGCACCATCACTATTGCTAATTTTGTAGATGGGGAACTGAGGCACAGAAAGATTAAATGAGCCACCTAAGGTCATACAGAAAGTCTGTGGAAGGAGTAGAAACTAAACCTTATTCTCTCGAGTGACAGCCCAGTGCCTTAACTACCAAATCTTCCTTTCTTTCACTGAATTTAATTTCCTTTAGACAGTTGCTGCAGATTTAACAGGGATCAGAGCGTTAACCACAGAGAAATATATTGATATGACCAGCATTACTGTAGCACTCCAACAGTGGAATAAGCAAACTGTGATTTCATCCCCATTTAGAGGAATTTTTCAATACACTTTTACACTGTTCCCATTTACTACAGCCCCTTTAAGGTGATATAAAAGTGGAAAAGTGGCTTCTGTAAGGCCAGAAACTGCAAGATAGCGAGCTTTCTCAGCTGATATCACAGACAGTAGGGTCCAAGAGCATTTGTTCAGCAATGTATAACCTGGGTGTCTTATTTTCTGAATTCCTGTGCTTGGACATGAACGCAGAAGCGCTGGAATACAAGCTTTTCCTTTACTACAGCTCTTCTAGTTGAGTCAAATCCTAGTTGCTGCTGTTGAAACCCGGAAATTTCCATTGATTTTTAGCAATGCTGGGATTTATTTCAGTAGTTTGTCAGTTTTGTGAGAAAATCCAGACAACAGCAACAAAAATAAGACAGAAGGGATCAATTTATGAAGGAAGATTAGAAAGTACTGAATACATACAGCGTACCCAAATGATAACAGAGGAGGACATAGTCTATATGCAGATGAAGGGAACACAGTATCAGAGAAAGAGCAATAGCTGCGGGGAATATGTATGTGATTTAACCAAAACCAATGAAATTATGTTAGAGGAAAGGTAAGTCAAGATGATATGAAGTAACTCTAAAAACCTTCACAGGTCTAGCAGATTACGGAATAATGAGAACACACTTTGTCTTTATTTCTATTAAAAATAGGTATCTCTCACTTAGCACTCAGTATATCTGTGTGTGCAAATATACACTGTGTATGTGCTGTGAGATGATTATGATTTTCAAATGAGCTCAATGTTTTAAACTACATTCACAGTGTACTTTATAAAATATTATCATAATTTTTTGCGTTTTACTACTGAACATTTATGCCAATTTCCATCTTGTCAATCTCCAGTAATACTGCGTCCCTGCAGGCTTTATTAAATCCATGCTTTACAGGAAATAACAAAAATGTCATTATAAGATTTTGGAGAGGCTTGGAAATCCCATGCTCCCATCAATGCTTTGAGTGCTTCATAAGGCAGCAACACGCTTGCATTGAGGAAGAACGACAGACAGATTTATAAGGATCATTCAGCTAGAGAACTTGGAATCACCCATTGTTGCTATTCAGGGTAAGACACAAAGGATGAAATCCCAGCCCCACTGGAATTAAGGGCACAATTCTCCTCGCAAGCGGCACCCGGATCTAATGACGTGGCTTTACGTTCCTGTTAAGTGTTACTGATGAGCACCTGAAAACAAACAGGTTCTACACCTCTTGTGGGATTGCCACGCTTCCGTCCAGCTTGCCTCACCAACAGATAAATTGAGTGAAGCACAAAATACTTTATGCTATCACCAGCAGAGTGGTTGGGGGCTGTGGAAGTGGCTCTTTCCTAAAGAAAACATTTAACGTAAAGAGTTAAGTCAAGGTGCATCTTTTCGCTGAAATGGAACTGGCGCTACCTTAAGTGCCCTTCAGAATCAAACTAACCAAGATCACAGTACACAAAAGGAGGAATGCTTTTCTATATCCTATCCCCAAGAGGCTCACAGAGAGATATTACAATATTTTTGCATGCTGTACAAATGTCACTGCTTGAATTCACCGTTGTACAACATTTTATAATCCAGATGAAGTCAGCATTTGGCCAGAATTTACTTCACTGAGTACAAGTTCAGGCAACTGTTAGCAGACGTAAGCAAAGCAACTCATTACCCCATCCTGTGCGAGGTCAGGCTGGAGGACAACTCTGTGCCTCTAAGAAAATTCACAAAGGATTTGCATTCCTTGCTTTTTGTTTATGGAGATGTTACTTTTCTCTGTATGGCTACCTAATCAGACAGGGACGTCAATGACACCCATTTAATGTGTTGCAATACCTAGAAGTTTTGTATCATAAATATTTAGTGGGATTTATGATACACAAGACTTTACTGGTCCCTTTATCATGCTTAAACAGAAGAGTCACACAGCAGTATTTCAGATACGTTAAAATAAATACCCTTCTGCATTTAACCGTTGCACTCTAACCCTAACTAAGATGACACTTCCTGCCACACACGCTAAAAAAAAACGTTTGATGATTAGACAAGTCGCAGTGTCTACAGCTCCCCGGGACTGGAACAGGTATGATCAACTCTGAGTAAGTGCTACTGTTTACTTAACCACAGCTACAACAGGAAACCTACCAGTGAACTGAGCATGCATGCTCATGTCCGTTTTTAACAGTCTGCTGATGCCAAGAGTGAAGTTAGATTAACAAATGAGGTATATTCTTCATTCACTTTCAAAAGCCACCCTTTACTTCTTTTCTTCATCCATCCTGCTGCTTCTACTAGCCAGGACTTTCTAGCCTTGGAGCCTATCCAGCTTTTACCCCAAAGCTCTATGTTCTTACCAATCCATGAAGCAAAGTTTGCCTTGCTAAAGAAAGGCTAGACTCGTAGAGAACTTCTCTCAGCGAGGGCTCTCAGAGTGCCTTACAAGTCTTTTAAAACCACGGAATAATCTTTGCTTTAGCAGAAATATCCTTGTTTCACACACTACCTTCTCAAACATCTACACAGCAAATAAATGCATTAAAAAACAATCAACATTGATCTCTGAAACTTTCCTTTTTAAAGACCATAGTACACTAATTAGAAAAAAATTAGCACTTGTACTGGCTGTCCACCACGAGATACTCATGCATTGACAGTCATCTGAATCAGTGGTGTTCGGTGGTTACCTTAAATTTCTTCAGTAACAAACGCGAAGACATACTTTCTCTTCTGGTATTGCCTATCAGATCAACTGACTCCATACATGCATGCAGGCATGACAGACCTGAGAAACTCAAATTTTCTTGTTCTAGGAGATACTACTCTGATTCCGCTAGTTGGTATGTTGCAGCAAACCTGAAAGAACTCCTTCCAGTACCCTGAAGTTCTTTCAACCACACCCTAGTATCAATAAAATTTGAATTTGCTACATCTTTCTCCCTGTATTTTTGCAACTGTTCGACGGTGACTTCTGACATACTGGTGTCACTCTGTACTACCACTTTTTCAAGTGGATGGGCCATTTCCTCAAGACCACAGCAACAACTCGTCTCTTGATTTCAAATTGCACTGTCCAGCCCACTGCTCATCTCGATGCTATATGAATCAGAGGTCACGCAACAGACTCGTACAAGTGTTGTTGTGTGAACAAAGAGACTAAAGAAAGGATTATTTGGCCCAAAATATCATTTTATATTCAAGTCCTAAGCAATTTGGCTACTGTGATCAATAGCAAAGCAAGATTAGACAAAATATTATGAGGCATTTCAACTCTCTCTAAAAACAATCTAGAAGTACTTAGCTGAAACAGGAAGATGTATTGAGCCAGGCAAATCTGTATCACACAACTCGGCTCCCTCACCAATCACTGGAACCGAACGCAATTCACTGTTTGAGAAGTATGCTTCTGGGAGGTACACTACAGAATCTGCGTGTTCCAGAATATTAAATAAGGACACTGTATTTATGTCTCTGAGTATACACACACAATTAAATATGTAAATAACAGGAGCTGTCACAGAGCTTAATCACATCAGTGCTAATTAGATAAACTGTAGGAAGATAATGCCTAGACTGATGGTCTGACAGTCTAAGAACCAGATACTGCCCATTCTTAATCAGGTAGAACAAATCCCAGGGTCAAGTCCTAAAACGTGTTATTTAGAAGGCTATTATTGATGTTATATAAATACACATGCATTGCAGGATAAATAATATGTTAGCTGAGATAACTACAGTAGCTGCTGACCAAAGCAAAGCCTTTCCTAAAGAGCACTTAATACTTGGATTTTTTAACTTAATGCAACTCTCTTCTGTGCATCATCTTTTTTGTACCCTAACTCATATTCAAATCCATCTGAAAGCCTACTGGAACTTTGTAAGGGTTTTGATTTCAAATTATTATCATTTTTCATTTATAACTGTCAGTTTTCAAGATTCAGGCCATTCATAGTTACAGAAAAATGGCTGGTTTAATGCAACAGTGAATGACAGAAGACCAAACTATCAAAAACAATTCTTATATTTTTCATTCCTGGAAAATTACCTTTCAGGAAGTGCTTTGTGTTTTATGTTCTGCACACTAGTCCAAGAGGGACTTTAAATCTTTTTATGACAATAATAGAAACAAAAAAAAGGGGGGGG